ACTATATTGACTGTCTCAGCCCCATTACAATAGCCTGGGGACTATAGTGACTGTCTCAGCCCCACTACAGTAGCCTGGGGACTATAGTGACTGTCTCAGCCCCACTACAGTAGCCTGGGGGACTATAGTGACTGTCTCAGCCCCACTACAGTAGCCTGGGGACTATAGTGACTGTCTCAGCCCCTCTACAGTTGCCTGGGGGACTATAGTGACTGTCTCAGCCCTACTACAGTAGCCTGGGGACTATGGTGACTGTCTCAGCCCCACTACAGTAGCCTGGGGACTATGGTGACTGTCACAGCCCCACTACAGTAGCCTGGGGACAATGGTGACTGTCACAGCCCCACTACAGTAGCGTGGGGACTATAGTGACTGTCACAGCCCCACTACAGTAGCCTGGGGACTATGGTGACTGTCTCAGCCCCACTACAGTAGCCTGGGGACTATGGTGACTGTCTCAGCCCCACTACAGTAGCCTGGGGACTATGGTGACTGTCACAGCCCCACTACAGTAGCCTGGGGACTATAGTGACTGTCCCAGCCTGTCCGTCCCTGCCCCTCCACTAGCAGTGTAAACATTACCCCCCCCCCCTCCCGTTGAGTGGGGGGGTTATGCGTGGGGGGGGAGGGGGGAGGAATGTGTCGGGACCCTGTATGATGTATGACTGAGAGTCCAGTGAAGCCGTATGCTTGAGGTACATATGTAAGGTACATATGTATATCTTTATGTATCTTTATGTATATGTATATATATGTATGGGTATCTTTATGTATATGTATCTATATGTATGGGTATCTTTATGTATATGTATATATATGTATGGGTATCTTTATGTATATGTATCTATATGTATGGGTATCTTTACGTTTTCCTTTTGTTTCACTGCTTCAGTCAGTGAAGCAACAGGGTCGGCGACTGTAAGGCGGGGCCCAAGAGCCGGAGCTCACCCTGCAGGCACTTACAAGTGGGGACACATTGGGTAATTGCGAGGGGGGGGGGGGGAATGATGCCCCCCTTCTTCCCTCCCCCCTATTCACCACTTACAAGAATGAGGAGTGAGGGACATGGGGACAGTAACAGCCAGGGACAGTAACAGCCAGGGACAGTAGCAGCCAGGGACAGTAGCAGCCAGGGACAGTAGCAGCCAGGGACAGTAACAGCCAGGGACAATAGCAGCCAGAGACAGTAACAGCCAGGGACAGTAGCAGCCAGGGACAGTAGCAGCCAGGGACAGTAGCAGCCAGGGACAGTAACAGCCAGGGACAATAGCAGCCAGAGACAGTAACAGCCAGGGACAATAGCAGCCAGGGACAGTAACAGCCAGGGACAATAGCAGCCAGGGACAGTAGCAGCCAGGGACAGTAGCAGCCAGGGACAGTAGCAGCCAGGGACAGTAGCAGCCAGGGACAGTAACAGCCAGGGACAATAGCAGCCAGAGACAGTAACAGCCAGGGACAATAGCAGCCAGGGACAGTAACAGCCAGGGACAATAGCAGCCAGGGACAGTAACAGCCAGGGACAGTAACAGCCAGGGACAGTAGCATCCAGGGACAGTAGCAGCCAGGGACAGTAGCAGCCAGGGACAATAGCAGCCAGGGACAGTAGCAGCCAGGGACAGTAGCAGCCAGGGACAGTAGCAGCCAGGGACAATAGCAGCCAGGGACAGTAGCAGCCAGGGACAGAAGCAGCCAGGGACAGTAGCAGCCAGGGACAGTAGCAGCCAGGGACAGTAGCAGCCAGGGACAGTAGCAGCTAGGAACAGTAGCAGCCAGGGACAGTAGCAGCCAGGGACAGTAGCAGCCAGGGACAGTAGCAGCCAGGGACAGTAGCAGCCAGGGACAGTAGCAGCCAGGGACAGTAGCAGCCAGGGACAGTAGCAGCCAGGGACAGTAGCAGCCAGGGACAGTAGCAGCCAGGGACAGTAGCAGCCAGAGACAGTGGCAGCCAGGGACAATAGCAGCCAGGGACAGTAGCAGTCAGGGACAGAAGCAGCCAGGGACAGTAGCAGCCAGGGACAGTAGCAGCCAGGGACAGTAGCAGCCAGGGACAGTAACAGCTAGGAACAGTAGCAGCTAGGGACAGTAGCAGCCAGGGACAGTAGCAGCCAGGGACGGTAGCAGCCAGGGACAGAAGCAACCGGGGACAGTAGCAGCCAGGGACAGTAGCAGCCAGGGACAGTAACAGCCAAGGACAGTAGCAGCCAGGGACAGAAGCAGCCAGGGATGGTAGCAGCCAGGGACAGTAGCAGCCAGGGACAATAGCAGCCAGGGACAGTAGCAGCCAGGGACAGAAGCAGCCAGGGACGGTAGCAGCCAGGGACAGTAGCAGCCAGGGACAGTAACAGCCAGGGACAGTAGCAGCCATGGACAGTAGCAACCGGGGACAGTAGCAGCCAGGGACAGAAGCAGCCAGGGACAGTAGCAGCCAGGGACAGTAGCAGCCAGGGACAATAGCAGCCAGGGACAGTAGCAGCCAGGGACAGTAGCAGCCAGGGACAGTAGCAGCCAGGGACAGTAGCAGCTAGGGACAGTAGCAGCCAGGGACAGTAGCAGCCAGGGACAATAACACCCAGGGACATTAGCAGCCAGGGACAGTAGCAGCCTGGGACAGTAGCAGCCAGGGACAGTAACAGCCAGGGACAGTAACAACCAGGGACAGTAGCAGCCAGGGACAGTAGCAGCCAGGGACAGAAGCAGCCATGGACAGTAGCCGCCAGGGACAGTAGCAGCCAGAGACAATAGCAGCCAGGGACAGTAGCAGCCAGGGACAGCAGCAGCCTGGGACGGTAGCAGCCAGGGACAGTAGCAGCCAGGGACAGTAACAGCCAGGGACAGTAGCAGCCATGGACAGTAGCAACCGGGGACAGTAGCAGCCAGGGACAGAAGCAGCCAGGGACAGTAGCAGCCAGGGACAGTAGCAGCCAGGGACAGTAGCAGCCAGGGACAATAGCAGCCAGGGACAGTAGCAGCCAGGGACAGTAGCAGCCAGGGACAGTAGCAGCCAGGGACAGTAGCAGCCAGGGACAATAACACCCAGGGACAATAGCAGCCAGGGACAGTAGCAGCCTGGGACAGTAGCAGCCAGGGACAGTAACAGCCAGGGACAGTAACAACCAGGGACAGTAGCAGCCAGGGACAGTAGCAGCCAGGGACAGAAGCAGCCAGGGACAGTAGCAGCCAGGGACAGTAGCAGCCAGGGACAGTAGCAGCCAGGGACAGAAGCAGCCAGGGACAGTAGCAGCCAGGGACAGTAGCAGCCAGGGACAGTAGCAGCCAGGGACAGTAACAGCCAAGGACAGTAGCAGCCAGGGACAGTAGCAGCCAGGGACAGAAGCAGCCAGGGACAGTAGCAGCCAGGGACAGTAGCAGCCAGGGACAGTAGCAGCCAGGGACAGTAACAGCCAGGGACAGTAACAGCCAGGGACAGTAGCAGCCAAGGACAGTAGCAACCAGGGACAGTAGCAACCAGGGACAGTAGCAGCCAGGGACAGTAGCAGCCAGGGACAGTAGCAGCCAGGGACAGTAGCAGCCAGGGACAGTAGCGGCCAGGGACAGTAACAGCCAGGGACAGTAGCAGCCAGGGACAGTAACAGCCAGGGACAGTAACACCCAGGGACACTAGCAGCCAGGGAGAGTAACACCCAGGGACAGTAGCACCCAGGGACAGTAGCAGCCAGGGAGAGTAACACCCAGGGACAGTAACAGCCGGGGACAGTAGCACCCAGGGACACTAGCAGCCAGGGAGAGTAACACCCAGGGACAGTAGCAACCAGGGACAGTAGCACCCAGGGACACTAGCAGCCAGGGACAGTAACAGCCAGGGACAGTAACAGCCAGGGACAGTAACACCCAGGGACACTAGCAGCCAGGGAGAGTAACACCCAGGGACAGTAGCACCCAGGGACAGTAGCAGCCAGGGAGAGTAACACCCAGGGACAGTAACAGCCGGGGACAGTAGCACCCAGGGACACTAGCAGCCAGGGAGAATAACACCCAGGGACAGTAGCACCCAGGGACAGTAGCAGCCAGGGAGAGTAACTCCCAGGGACAGTAACAGCCAGGGACAGTAGCACCCAGGGACACTAGCAACCAGGGACAGTAACAACCAGGGAGAGTAACACTCAGGGACAGTAACAGCCAGGGACAGTAACAGCCAGGGACAGTAACAGCCAGGGACAGTAGCAGCCAGGGACAGAAGCAGCCAGGGACAGTAGCAGCCAGGGACAGTAGCAGCCAGGGACAGTAACAGCCAGGGACAGTAACACCCATGGACAGTAGCAGCCAGGGACAGTAACAGCCAGGGACAGTAACACCCAGGGACAGTACCAGCCAGGGACAGTAACAGCCAGGGACAGTAACAGCCAGGGACAGTAACAGCCAGGGACAGTAACAGCCAGAGACAGTAGCTGCCAGGGACAGTAACAGCCAGGGACAGTCACAGCCAGGGACAGTAACAGCCAGGGACAGTAACAGCCAGGGACAGTAACACCCAGGGACAGTAACACCCAGGGACAGTAACACCCAGGGCCAGTAACACCCAGGGACAGCAACACACAGGCACAGTAACACCCAGGGACAGCAACACACAGGGACAGCAACACACAGGGACGGTAACACCCAGGGACAGCACCAGCCAGGGACAGTAATACCCAGGGACAGCAGCAGCCAGTGACAGTAACACCCAGTGACAGCCAGGGACAGCAGCAGCCAGGGACAGCCCCAGCCAGGGACAGCGCCAGCCAGGGACAGTAACACCACGGGACAGTAGCAGCCAGGGACAGTAACACCCAGGGACAGAAGCAGCCAGGGACAGCCAGGGACAGCAGCAGCAAAGGGACAGCCAGGGACAACAGCAGCCAGGGACAGCAGCAGCCAGGGACAGCAGCAGCCAGGGACAGCAGCAGCCAGGGACAACAGCAGCCAGGGACAGCCAGGGACAGCAGCAGCCAGGGACTGCCAGGGACAGCAGCAGCCAGGGACAGCCAGGGACAGCAGCAGCCATGGACAGCCAGGGACAGCCAGGGACAGCAACAGCCATGGACAGCAGCAGCCAGGGACAGCCAGGGACAGCAGCAGCCATGGACAGCCAGGGACAGCCAGGGACAGCAACAGCCATGGACAGCAGCAGCCAGGGACAGCCAGGGACAGCAGCAGCCAGGGACAGCAGCAGCCAGGGACAGCAGCAGCCAGGGACAGCCAGGGACAGCAGCAGCCATGGACAGCCAGGGACAGCCAGAGACAGCAGCAGCAAGGGACAGCCAGGGACAGCAGCAGCCATGGACAGCCAGGGACAGCCAGGGACATCAGCAGCCAGGGACAGCCAGGGACATCAGTAGCCAGGGACAGCCAAGGACAGCAGCAGCCAGGGACAGCCAGGGACAGCAGCAGCCATGGACAGCAGCAGCCAGGGACAGCCAGGGACAGCTAGGGACAGCCAGGGACAGCAGCAGCCATGGACAGCAGCAGCCAGGGACAGCCAGGGACAGCCAGGGACAGCTAGGGACAGCCAGGGACAGCAGCAGCCATGGACAGCAGCAGCCAGGGACAGCCAGGGACAGCCAGGGACACCTCACCCCTACAAACCTCAGTAATGTCACACCTTAGCTCCGTCCAGCGAGTGAGTTATGACAGTATCGCGTGACGGGTAGTCATTGTTGCCTGTGTGGGCCCTCCCACACCTCCCACACCTGGAGTGGCCACCCTGGGGCCCTCCCACACCTCCCACACCTAGAGTGTCCACCCCGGCCCCCTCCCACACCTCCCACACCTAGAGTGTCCACCCCGGGCCCCTCCCACACCTGGAGTGGCTACCCCGGGCCCCTCCCACACCTCCCACACCTGAAGTGGCCACCCCGGGCCCCTCCCACACCTCCCACACCTAGAGTGGCCACCCCGGGCCCCTCCCACACCTCCCACACCTGGAGTGGCCACCCCGGGGCCACTCCCACACCTCCCACACCTGGAGTGGCCACCCCGGCCCCTCCCACACCTCCCACACCTGGAGTGTCCACCCCGGCCCCCCTCCCACACCTCCAACACCTGAAGTGGCCACCCCGGGCCCCTCCCACACCTCCCACACCTGGAGTGTCCACCCCGGCCCCCCTCCCACACCTCCAACACCTGGAGTGGACACCCCGGGCCCCTCCCACACCTCCCACACCTGGAGTGGCCACCCCGGGCCCCTCCCACACCTCCCACACCTGGGGTGTCCACCCCGGCCTCCTCCCACACCTCCCACACCTGGAGTGTCCACCCCGGGGCCCTCCCACACCACCCGCACCTGTAGTGGCCACCCCGACCCCCCTCCCACACCTGGAGTAGCAACCCCGGGGCCCCTCCCACACCTCCCACACCTGGAGTGGCTGCCCCGGGGCCCCTCCCACACCTCCCACACCTGGAGTGGCCATCCCAGGGCCCTCCCACACCTCCCACACCTGTAGTGGCCACCCCGACCCAACTCCCACACCTGGAGTGGCTACCCCGGGGCCCCTCCCACACCTCCCACACCTGGAGTGGCTACCCCGGGCCCCTTCCACACCTCCCCCACCTAGAGTGGCGACCCCGGGCCCCTCCCACACCTGGAGTGGCTACCCCGGGCCCCTCCCACACCTGGAGTGGCCACCCCCGCCCCCCTCCCACACCTCCCACACCTGGAGTGTCCACCCCGGGCCCCTCCCACACCCGGAGTGTCCACCCCGGGCCCCTCCCACACCTGCAGTGTCCACCCCGGCCCCCTCCCACACCTGGAGTGTCCACCCCGGGCCCCACCCACAACTGGAGTGGGTACCCCGGCCCCCGTCCCACACCTCCCACACTTGGAGTGGCTACCCCGGCCCCCCTCCCACACCTCCCACACCTCCCACACCTGGAGTGTCCACCCCGGCCCCCCTCCCACACCTCCCACACCTAGAGTGTCCACCCCGGCCCCCCCTCCACCACCTCCCACACCTGGAGTGGCCACCCCGGGCCCCTCCCACACCTCCCACACCTAGAGTGTCCACCCCGGGGCCCCTCCCACACCTCCCACACCTGGAGTGTCCACCCCGGGGCCCTCCCACACCTCCCACACCTGGAGTGGCCACCCCGGGGCCCTCCCACACCTCCCACACCTGGAGTGGCCACCCCGGGGCCCTCCCACACCTCCCACACCTGGAGTGTCCACCCCGGGGCCCCTCCCACACCTCCCACACCTGGAGTGGCCACCCCGGACCCCTCCCACACCTCCCACACCTGGAGTGTCCACCCCGGGGCCCCTCCCACACCTCCCACACCTGGAGTGGCAACCCCGGGCCCCTCCCACACCTCCCACACCTGGAGTGGCCACCCCGACCCCCCACCCACACCTCCCACACCTGGAGTGGCCACCCCGGGCCCCTCCCACAACTCCCACACCTGGAGTGTGCAGTGTTGCCTGGCTGTATTGCCTGCCAGTGTTGCCTGGCAGTGTTGCCTGCCAGTGTTGCCTGACAGTGTTGCCTGACAGTGTTGTCTGACAGTGTTGCCTGACAGTGTTGCCTGACAGTGTTTCCTGCCAGTGTTGCCTGCCAGTGTTGCCTGCCAGTGTTGCCTGGCAGTGTTGCCTGACAGTGTTGCCTGACAGTGTTGCCTGACAGTGATGCCTGACAGTGTTTCCTGCCAGTGTTGCCTGCTAGTGTTGCCTGCCAGTGTTGCCTGACAGTGTTGTCTGACAGTGTTGCCTGACAGTGTTGCCTGACAGTGTTGTCTGACAGTGTTGCCTGACAGTGTTGCCTGACAGTGTTGCCTGGCAGTGTTGCCTGACAGTGTTGCCTGACAGTGTTGCCTGACAGTGTTTCCTGCCAGTGTTGCCTGCCAGTGTTGCCTGCCAGTGTTGCCTGACAGTGTTGCCTGACAGTGTAGCCTGACAGTGTTGCCTGGCAGTGTTACCTACCAGTGTTGCCTGGCAGTGTTGCCTGACAGTGTTGCCTGGCAGTGTTGCCTGACAGTGTTGCCTGGCAGTGTTGCCTGACAGTGTTGCCTGACAGTGTTGCCCGCCAGTGTTACCCGCCAGTGTTGCCTGACAGTGTTGCCTGGCAGTGTTACCTACCAGTGTTGTCTGACAGTGTTGCCCGCCAGTGTTGCCCGCCAGTGTTGCCTGACAGTGTTGCCTGACAGTGTTGCCTGGCAGTGTTGCCTGACAGTGTTGCCTAGCAGTGTTGCTTGAGAGTGTTGCCTGACAGTGTTGCCTGGCAGTGTTGCCTGACAGTGTTGCCTGGCAGTGTTGCCTGACAGTGTTGCCTGGCAGTGTTACCTACCAGTGTTGCCTGACAATGTTGCCTGGCAGTGTTGCCTGACAGTGTTGCCTGACAGTGTTGCCCGCCAGTGTTACCCGCCAGTGTTGCCTGACAGTGTTGCCTGGCAGTGTTACCTACCAGTGTTGCCTGACAGTGTTGCCTGGCAATGTTGCCTGACAGTGTTGCCTGACAGTGTTGCCTGACAGTGTTACCTACCAGTGTTGCCTGAGAGTGTTGCCTGACAGTGTTGCCTGGCAGTGTTGCCTGACAGTGTTGCCTGACAGTGTTGCCTGACAGTGTTGCCTGACAGTGTTGCCTGGCAGTGTTACCTACCAGTGTTGCCTGACAGTGTTGCCTGGCAGTGTTGCCTGACAGTGTTGCCTGGCAGTGTTACCTACCAGTGTTGCCTGACAATGTTGCCTGGCAGTGTTGCCTGACAGTGTTGCCTGGCAGTGTTACCTACCAGTGTTGCCTGACAGTGTTGCCTGGCAGTGTTGCCTGACAGTGTTGCCTACCAGTGTTGCCTGACAGTGTTCCCTGACAGTGTTGCCTACCAGTGTTGCCAGACAGTGTTGCCTGACAGTGTTGCCTGACAGTGTTGCCTGACAGTGTTGCCTGGCAGTGTTGTCTGACAGTGTTGACCGCCAGTGTTGCCCGCCAGTGTTGCCCGCCCGTGTTGCCCGCCAGTGTTGCCTGGCAGTGTTGCCTGACAGTGTTGCCTACCAGTGTTGCCTGACAGTGTTACCTACCAGTGTTGCCTGGCAGTGTTACCTACCTGTGTTGCCTGACAGTGTTACCTACCAGTGTTGCCTGACAGTGTCACCTACCAGTGTTGCCTGGCAGTGTTGCCTGGCAGTGTTGCCTACCAGTGTTGCCTGACAGTGTTACCTACCAGTGTTGCCTGGCAGTGTTACCTACCAGTGTTGCCTGACAGTGTTACCTACCAGTGTTGCCTGACAGTGTTACCTACCAGTGTTGCCTGGCAGTGTTGCCTGGCAGTGTTGCCTGACCGTATTGCCTGACAGTGTTGCCTGACAGTGTTACCTACCAGTGTTGCCTGACAGTGTTGCCTGACAGTGTTGCCTACCAGTGTTGCCTGGCAGTGTTGCCTGACAGTGTTGCCTGACAGTGTTACCTACCAGTGTGGCCTGACAGTGTTGCCTGACAGTGTTACCTACCAGTGTTGCCTGACAGTGTTGCCTGACAGTGTTACCTACCAGTGTTGCCTGGCAGTGTTACCTACCAGTGTTGCCTGACAGTGTTGCCTGGCAATGTTGCCTGACAGTGTTGCCTGACAGTGTTGCCTGACAGTGTTACCTACCAGTGTTGCCTGACAGTGTTGCCTGACAGTGTTACCTACCAGTGTTGCCTGACAGTGTTGCCTGACAGTGTTACCTACCAGTGTTGCCTGACAGTGTTGCCTTGCAGTGTTACCTACCAGTGTTGCCTGACAGTGTTGCCTGGCAGTGTTGCCTGGCAGTGTTGCCTGACAGTGTTGCCTGGCAGTGTTACCTACCAGTGTTTCCTGGCAGTGTTGCCTGCCAGTGTTGCCTGCCAGTGTTGCCTGACAGTGTTGCCTACCAGTGTTGCCTGACAGTGTTGCCTTACAGTGTTGCCTGACAGTGTTGCCTGACAGTGTTGCCTGGCAGTGTTACCTACCAGTGTTGCCTGACAGTGTTGCCCGCCAGTGTTGCCTGGCAGTGTTGCCTGACAGTGTTGCCTGACAGTGTTGCCTGAAAGTGTTGCCTGGCAGTGTTGCCCGACAGTGTTGCCTGGCAGTGCTGCCAGGCAGTGTTGCCTGACAGTGTTGCCTGACAGTGTTGCCTGGCAGTGTTACCTACCAGTGTTGCCTGACAGTGTTGCCTGGCAGTGTTGCCTGACAGTGTTGCCTGGCAGTGTTACCTACCAGTGTTTCCTGGCAGTGTTGCCTGACAGTGTTGCCTGACAGTGTTGCCTGACAGTGTTGCCTGCCAGTGTTGCCCGCCAGTGTTGCCTGGCAATGTTGCCAGGCAGTGTTGCCTGACAGTGTTGCCTGACAGTGTTGCCTGACAGTGTTGCCCGCCAGTGTTGCCTGACAGTGTTGC